TTTCTGATTACAAAATAATTGTGGAATCCGGTGCCACAATTATATTCGTCGATAATATTCATACCATGGAGTGTATCGAAATAATTCCTATCCATAAACACTCTGCTCGAAGGGTGCCAGTATCATAGTATGTTTACTTCGATGTGCCACAATTGAGGATATAGTATGCGATGCCACAAATATTGCGAAACGTGTATAGGTGTGTGTGTGTGTGTGTGTGTGTGTGTGTGTGTGTGGTGTGTGTGTGTGTGTGTGTGTGTGTGTGTGTGTGTGTGTGTGTGTGTGTGTGTGTGTGTGTGTGTGTGTGTGTGTGTGTGTGGTGTGTGTGTGTGTGTGTGTGTGTGTGTGTGTGTGTGTGTGTGTGTGTGTGTGTGTGTGTGTGTGTGTGTGTGTGTGTGTGGTGTGTGTGTGTGTGTGTGTGAGTGTGTGTGTGTGTGTGGTGTGTGTGTGTGTGTGTGTGTGTGTGTGTGGTGTGTGTGTGTGTGTGTGTGTGTGTGTGTGTGTGTGTGTGTGTGTGTGTGTGTGTGTGTGTGTGTGTGTGTGTGTGTGTGTGTGTGTGTGTGTGTGTGTGTGTGTAGAGTAATTGTCTTGATACTTAGCAAAGTCGACGTCATTGTCTTTGCTAAGAGACGCTTATTGTATCCGAACGTCTGCGGTCCCTCCAGTGAGTACCGATCGCACAAGGATAGAAATTATTTTTATTCATTAATTTTTAATAAACGAAAACTTCTCCACCCAGATGAGATTCGAACTCACGACCTTTAGGTTTAAAGGTAGGTGCTCTTACCATTGAGCCACAGAGGGGGTGTGTTTAATCTATTAAATCTGTGAGGAACTTTAAAAAGCGTGTTTAAGCTCTGACAGTTATTTGACGTGTTTTTTAAATATTTAAAATTTGATATTTTACATAAAGCGATAGAAGCAAAAATTTAAGACAACAATTATATAATTTTATTTTCAGCTCATTTACAAACGAAAGCGTTGCAACAGGAGATATTGCGTGTCGACTATCGACAATCAGATAAGTTCGTGCTGATTTGCGATACTTATTGACGTTTCGGCAATAATTAATGTATAAGTGTAGTTATAAAGTAGCGCAACAAGTTCCGAAGATATAATTAATAATGTCAAGTTTAACTCCAATTATTATCTAGTATCGCATAAAGTAGACTGTACTAAAATATTTTTAGTAACTCATTTTTTTTTTAATTTAGCAAAGTTATAATTATTATCAGATTGTATCCTATTAAAAAGTTTGTCAGTTTTTTCGTTTCTAAATTAAAAATTTAAATGTCATTAGAATATATTTCTAAGTGTTAAATTCAGATAATTTTAATACTTTAGTAGATCAGAAAAAATATCAAATAAATAGCCTTTATTGAGAAATTTCTTTTTAAAATATATTATTTATTACTATAATACACCTTCTTCTTCTTTTAATGCCATTTCCACTAATGAAGGTTGGCTATAACCATTACAAATTCGTCTCTATCTGCTGCTTTTCTTAAGAGAGTCTGTGTGTTTAACTCGGTCCAGTCACGTATGTTTTTGGCCAGGATACTTGTCGTCTACTAGGACTTCTTTTTGCTTCGAATTTACCCTTCATAATCAGCTGTAACAACTCGTACTTATAATTCTTAGATTAGATTAGAATAGATTACATTATGTGATGTCGTTAAGGTCATGCGTTCTCACCGCAGTTCGACCTATAGAGATCTTTTGTGCATACCTTAATCTAGTTAAACTCTAGAATGCCAATACTATTGATGAAGTTGATTAGCTTCCTAGGTGACTTATTTCCTATGTCAGAGGACGCCAAACTGGCCTCTCCTAGTAATTTTAGTCGTTTGCAGAACAGTGCTACGCAGTTGTATAGTATATGTTCTGCCATTTCTTTTTCATTGTTCAGAAACCACAGTTCTCACTATCTGATTTGCCCATCTTCTTGAGATGATATCTAAGAGGGCAGTGACCAGTGAAAAGGCAAGTGACCATTTTGATTTTTTTTACTCATTTCGAGAAGGCGGTTTGTTACAGTAGGCGACACTTTTATGAGCCTTTTTGCTTGCCGTTGTCCTAGTGTGTTGGACCAATATGATCTTAGTTGATTGAGTTCCCAGGTATGGAGTTCCTATCTGATGTGGCTTTTCAATAGTCCACAGAATGGTTCCGGACCCTGGAATGGGGTATTAGCCCCTTTTTTGTGAGGCTCTCAGCTTCCTCATTGCCTGCAATTCCCTTGTGACCTGGCATCCACATCACAGTTACATTATTGCGTTCCGCCAGCTACTTGAGAGATTGTTTACAATCCAAAACCAACTTTGACTCACATGTAAATGACTTTACAGCCTTTAAGGCAGCTTGACTGTCTGATAAAATAAATACTTTTGCATTACGGGTGTCTCGGTTTAGACATTCTTGGGCACTTATGTCTATAGCATGTATTTCTGCCTGGAAGATAGTTGGAGCGTTTCCAGGAGATTTAGATTTAGCCTGAAATTGCGCCCAGTACTTCCCACACTCCTGCCATTTCATTTATCTTAGATCTATCCGTATACTATACGAGTGAACCTTCTTCCACTTTTGATTCAATTTCTTTACTCATTTGGTGGTTTTTTATGACCACTTTAAGGGTGTTTCAAAGTCAAATTTGACTGGCGTAGCATATGTCCTTAGAATCCAATGGAAGATTTTCAGGTGGCCAACTGGATCTCCAGGTTTCATTATTTGTGTCTGTCTCAGTTTTAAGGCAGTAGTTACTGCCTCCCTCCTTATGCAGAACTGCAAGGGAGGAAGGTTTAGCATCGTTTAGAGCTGCAGTGGGACATTTTGTCATTGCATCTGTGATTCCCAGACAATCTAGCCGCTGTACTTTATGCAGCTTGGCCTTAGCTGTTGTTTGTTGTGTTTTTGGCCACCATACTAATGATGCGTATGTAATCATGGGCCTTATTATTGTTTTATATGACCAGAGAGTCATTTTCGGTTGTAGGTCTCAAGTCTTTCCAAAGTATTGTGCGAATTAATGGAATCACTGTGAATTTTTTTTCATTTTTTCAATATTCACAGTTGGCAACACTACCTACACAGTTGACAGCTGACCAAGCATTGAAAACATAACCTTACTGTGTGTTGTTGTGTTTGAGTGTGTTTTAGGTCATTTCTTACCAAGCTTGTGTTGTTTTGGGAGTTTTTGTACTATTTTGTGTTGTTTTTGGTTTTATTCCAACATGGATATTACGCCTAAGAAGCTTGAAAAGATTGTCACGTTGAGTGAACACACTAGTATGTCACAAAGAGAGATTGCTAGAACGTGTGGAGTGAGTCAGGGGGTAGTAAGCAAAATTTTGAAGCGTAAACGAGAAACGGGATCAGTGGATGTGAAAAGGTTAGGAAAATGTGGAAGAAAGAGAAAAACAAAACCAGCAGATGATAGATTTTTACTTCGAAAGAGCAAATTGGACCCAATAAAATCAAGCCAATACCTACAACAAGATCTAGCAGCATCAGCTATAGTGATTCATGACTCAACTGTTCGTAGAAGACTTTTGGAGAATGGTAGAAGGGCAATTCGTCCACAGAAAAAACAGCTTCTAACTGAACGAATGAAGAAACAAAGGCTACCGTGGGCCAAAAAATACTCTATTATGTGGGACATATTTCCTACTGAATGATGTAAGTTTACCTTTATAGTTTTGTCAAAATATAATTTTTTACTAAATAAACTGTTTTTTGATTAAAACAGCCTATTATTCCATTAATTCGCACAATACTGTAGTAAGTAATGGTGAAAATACACAGCCCTGTTTCACTCCTCTATACAGAGCTTCCAATATTCCGAAGCCGTTACGAAAGCCAAACTGTCTATTACTCATATCCGCTTCGCACTTTCTGAATGTTCTTGCATGTATAATCTTTAAAAATATTTTTAATAAGTGTGACATTAAGCTGATTAATCTATAGTCATTACAGTGTTTGAGGTTCTTGGTTTTTTTGTAGGGGAACAAAGATCGGAACTGTAATACATAAATATTTACGATACCTATCATTTAGTAATCTTTTCTACTAATATTAATAAAAAAAAGTAGAATTTTGCAAAGTAAATATTTATTTTAAATTGTTTAAACAAATAACTTAATTAAATATACAATACACAAATTAAATAAATGTATTTTTGCATTATATAATAATTAGATAATACAAATTAGATAATAAAATTAATTTTCGTTAAATCACTTTGCTTTTAAACCCTTTATTTTTGGCGCATCAGACTTCTTGGTTTGTATCAAATTCTTTTGTTTAGAAAGCTGAGAAATTTGGACAGAATTAGAGATGCACTTTAAAGAGGGAAGAGACACGATCTAGAGTGCCCAATCTGCAACCCAGTTAATAAATAAATGAACGAATCTTTATAATAAAGTAAAGCTCACTCATAATGGCTAATGAAAGTTCTACAACACGTCTACAATCCTCTTTTTTGATTCCTTTTTCAAAGAATGGCGGTGCCAAGTTCATCAAATCTCGAAAGTTACAATACTGCAGACACATTATGCCAAATGAATCCAGATATGCCCTCCTACAAACTAGCCTACAAGGAAAAATGTTTGGAAAGCGCGATCCCGGAAGAAGGAGAACATCCTGGTTAAAAAAGCTAATAACCTGATTCAACCCAACACCTGTGCAGCTTTTCCGCGCTACGACAGATAAGATAAAGATTGTCATGATGATCGCCAATATTCGTCACGAATAGACACATCCAGAAGAAGAGTTTTTACATCTCGGTGGTTTAATAATTTTATGATAGGGCTATAAAGTGATAAGTTCGTACACGTTCATAACTTTTACATGTTTTAGCTTCCCTCCATATGTTTTAACACTAATTTTGATGTGGAATGTTTTTCAATTTTTAACATAGGCATCAGTTCAGTTCTAGTTTTTGATGTTTTAATCAGGAACAAAGTTATGTAAAAAGTAGTTTATTCCCTTTTTGTATTTTTTAGTTTAAACGTTTCACTTGTAAACTCATTAGCTACAGTAACGTACGAGGATTTTCTAAAACCGATTCCGGCTCTAAAAGGACTAAAAGATTACTACGAGCTTTGGACAATTAAAGGTATTAGTGTAGTATATGGACTTATAATTATGGGAATGAGCTTTGTAGTCAGCATGATTGATGGAGTTATAGAAGCTTCGATGTTGGTTACTTCGGTCACGTCTGGACCCTTATTAGGAGTATTTTTGCTGGCTATGTTAATACCTGTGGCTAATGGAAAGGTAAGGAATCACGTTTATTTAGGTATATTATGACCTATAAATTTAATTTTGTCATCTATTATGTAGGCACTGATTTCTAAGAAATATTGGCCACTATGGCCAGGTTGTAATTATAGATTAGTTATATATATATATATATATACATAAATATATATTTTAAAGGAAAGAGCTTTTGACAAAAGACGAAGCTTTTTCGGCTAATGATTGTAAGGATCAAGCGAGATGTTTTGCCAATTTCTGAGTGAGGCAGTTGTATGCGCTGACGATAGGGATAGGCCTTAGAGGAACATTCGGCTTATGGATTTTTGGAAGGCCGTATATCTTTGGAATTCGAGATGACTTTTCTCTGGGTATAAGAGATTTTTTGATGTCTGGAGGTAGAGTATAACTATTTATAATGGATTTGGTAGTTTTTTCTAGATATGTGGTGGGATCGTTTGGGACGCGTTTGTATTCTGTGGAATTGAGAAGTTCGAATATTTTGTCGAAATAATTAGAAGAGTTGAAAATGACGGTGGCATTACCTTTGTCGGCCGAAAGGATGACAATGTCAGGGTTGTAATAAAGTTCTTTGAGAGCACGTCTTTCTGACAGACTGATATTTGAAAGTGGGGGGTTTGGAAGTACGAAGAATTCTGGCAACATCTTGTCTGGCAATTTCGGCTTGGTCAAAAGGGAGATGAGAAATAGCTTCTTCAGCTTGACAAATTTTCTCTGTTGGTATGGAAAGAGAAGTGACAGAAAAATTGAATCCTTTTGATAGAGCTTTGTTAGAAGAATCGTATATCTGAATATCTGAGAAATTGCGGACAATAGTAGAGAGTTCTTGATTCGAAATGGGCTTTGGATTTTGCTGAGAAATAAGTTGTTCCAGTTTGCGTTTCTGGGTTTAAGTTTTGTTGTCAGAAATGTGTTGGGCTTTTTGGCGAGAAAAACGATCAAAAGTGTCCCATAATAATGGGTGGATATTGAAAGAGTGAATGTCATTGTAGGTTTTAAGAAGTTGGGAATTTGTTGAATCTAACTTGCGGCGTGTGGAATGAATTGAATTTCTAAGAAGCGAATAACCAGTAGCTCTAAGGATTTTGGAAATAGATGGACATTTAGTGTGATGTTTAACTTGAAGATATTTCGGAATGACTTGATGGTCACGACATGATTTAAGAAAAGTAAGATCTTAATGCCCAGTCACATCATCACCCCGCCCAACTCAATTCAGTGGTCAACACTCTCATTTCTCGTTCCAAAAGACTTAGCGACATCAATCATAGGTCATCCGAAATCAATTCAATAAGGCAAACACTTTACAAAACGGCTACCACAAAATCCAAGTCAATAAGAGCATTCAAAAACATCCAAACCCCATTCGATCCAAAAAATAAACCTTGCCGTCGGATCAACCTAAAATCTTTCTACCTTTTAAAAAAGGTATCACTGACAAGATCAGTAGAACTCTTCTTCCTCTATACATCAAAACCATCTTCACTACTCACTCCAAGTTGTCCAATCTCGTCAGATCCCTAATGAAGACCATGGTGTCTACGAGATACCTTGTTCCAGTTGCCCACGTACATACATCGGACAGACAAACCGACGAATCCATAACCGTATTTACAAACATTCTATATCGGTCAAACATTCCGATACTACTTCAGCCCTAGCCCAACATCATATTCAAACAGGCCACAAAATAGACTTGGAGAAAGCAAAAACCATCGCCCCCATCCGCTCCTTAAAATTAAGAATCATTTGTAAAGCTATAGAAATCGATAAACGGCCTAACAGCTTAAATACGCGCGATGACGCAAAACGATTGAAGGCAACATGGAGACCCCTGCTTCTGAGACCTCCCGCCCACGCCGCTCAGGCCACGTCAGCTCAGACCACGTCAGCCCATACCATTCCCGCGCGTATAGCAAGTATAAAAGCTGCGACATAGGGTAAGGAGTAGGCAGATTAAAACCTCAGTGCCGAGAGACAGTTCTTGTATTTGTAATACAAAACACGATACTGGTACGTCTCAAGTGAGGGGAATAGGCAGATTGAGACCCGAACTCGAACCGAACCGTATCTCTCTTGATAATGGCTCCAAAATGGGAGCCGAAACGTCGAGCATTAAATTCTCAACGCGGATCTTCCCGAGAACCTAGTGATTTTCATTCATCTGATTTGATCTGATATTGTTATAATTGCATAAAAAGCCGAGAGATTAGCCATGAATTCTCCATTTGCGTTGACATGGTTTTCATTAAATCTTTGTTTTAGTTCTGGAACTATTTCATTTCTGATTCGTGCATTAAGGCCACCTATAAGAATTACGGGTTCTTCATGAGATTACTTTTATCATAAATGAATTCTATGTAAATATCAGATTTATTTGACTTTAAAATAATATTTAAATTGCAGGGAGCAGCTTTTGGTATAATCCTTGGTCATTTAGTAACATTTTGGATTGCTATCGGAGCATTTATTATCGAAAAACCTCCAACACCTTATTTGCCTTTAAACACATATGGTTGTAACGAAACGTTCTTTAGCGACTACATCAAACGGCCAAGTGATGTTAGTTTTAACGTGACTACGTTTAACTTAATGAAGAATACCTACACGGAGCCTATTCAACCAGATGTTAGTAATATGAAGTAAGTACTAAATTCCACTGTCTTGTTAAAATAAGTAATACATAAGTAATGACATATACTTCATCATCATCAATGATACTATGATCTAAGTTAAGTTTAGACTTTCTAAGCTTATTCCTACATTCGATCTTGTTCCTTACAGTTTAATCCAATTGGCAACAACAATATTCCTGAAATCCTTATCTATATTAGACTTTTTTCTTAAACTTTTCTCTTCAATATGACTAGTCTGTTTTATCTAAGTTACAAAGTTGCTGCTAACTTCTCAGAAACGGACAGGTATCATTGAGTAGTGAGATTGGGAAACTGTTAAAAAAACAATCTTTCCCTATCCAGGGTAAGGAAAAGGATTGGGTTATAGATGGGTGCAATAAGCTAGCCCGGTAGTTTCAAGGATGTGGACTTTACTCATTTAGCTAGATTTATATACCTATATTTTGTAAATATTTTAATCATGTTATCAAAATATTTAATTGAAATGAGGTTAAATGCTCGAATAAATGAACTTTGAAAAATAAGGCTATTATCGAGCACAAGTTAATTAAATCTAGCCCAAGTACTTTTGCTTAAAATAGCATCTTCAGGGGCATTTCGTCAAAAGATAGCTTGATGATGCTATCGTCAAGATGCTTTTCGTCAAAAGATGCCGGATAGTTTATATTTTGACGAAATGCCCCTGAAGATGCTATTTTAAGCGAAAGTACTTGGGCTAGATTTAATTAACTTATGCTCGATAATAGCCTTATTTTTCAAAGTTTATCAAATATGTCAATTTTTTTGGCTTATTTTATTTTATTTTTGTAGGAACCCATTATATCTGCTATATTCAGTAACTTATATGTACTATACCTGTATTGGATGTCTGGTAACAGTCTTGTTTGGAAGCCTAGTATCATATATCACAAAGAGTAAACTTGACAAGTGCGACGAAGATTTGATTCATCCCATGATTTGGAAAATAAAAAACTTGTGTCGCAGAAGCGCAAGTTTTGAGTTACCAGAAGTTAAGGAAAAAGAAACACCTGTGAATTGACACATGTAAATTAAGAATAAACGAGACTGGTATCTAGTATAATTTTATATATTTGTAACAAATAAGTATTAATTTTGTACGTATTGAAATATATTTTATATTGTTTTTATTTTATTTTATTTGTTTATTTAAATATATCCAAATTTATTAAGTGCGTTTATCAAAACTGTCGAGAACTTAAAAAAAAATACGAAAAGTGGAAAGAGATAAGATTCTGACAAATTGTGGTCTGAATTAAAACTATGGTTAAATAAACTTAAGACAATCTAAAAAATACTAACCAACATGTATAAAAACTATGAATGACTACTGACGTATTAGAAATAATGACTTTAAGCAGACACCACAAAAATAAATTAAAATAATTAAAAAAAAATCACAAATAAGAAGACAGATAGTGAAGGCAAAGGAGAAGAGTGGCTTACAGAAACATGTGAAGAACAAGAAGATTTAGAGAAAAAGCACAATGATAAACTTCTTTATAAAAAAATAAAGCACTACTACTATTACCATCGGTCTACAGCGTTCTTCCGACTCCTAACCGCTATTCTTTTCTATTCAACCATAGGCCTAGAGAGATTTCTCTTTCCTCTAGTTCTTTTTCAATTCCCTCTGTGTTCCTCTTTTTCTTCTCCCTTGTGGTGTCCACGTAAAAATCTGTTTTGGTTTCCTGTCATCTGGCATTCTCTGTACATGGCCGTACCATATTAACTGTTTTGTTTTTATGTCATCAACTATTGTATGCTTGACTCCCATCATTTCTCGTATTCTCTCATTTGGTATCCGATCTCTTCTTGATTTGCTTGCTGTTCTTCTCCAGAAGTTCATTTCTGTTGCTAGTAACAGTTTCTCTGTTCTTTGTTTCATTTTCCAAACTTCACTGCCATATGTGATTACACTTTTAAATATGGTGTTGTATATGAGTTGTTTGTTCGCTTAAGATATTGTTTGGTCCAACAGAATGCCGGTCATCATGGATATGGCTTTTCTACCTTGTATGTTTCTGTCTTTTATAGCAGCATCGAGTGTTCCATCTTGAGTTATCTTCATACCCAAGTACTTGTATTCAACACAGTTTCTAATTTCTACACCATCGTCTAATATTATGGATTGTTTTGTTCCTCCAATACACATGGCTTCAGTTTTCTTAATGTTGACTTCGAGACCCCATTTGTTATATTCTTCTATTAGCTTCCGAGTCATGTAACTTAAGTCGTCATGATCCTGGGCAATCAGTATTTGGTCATCAGCGAAACATAAGGTGTATAGTGTAGTCTCGTCATTGAGAGGGATTCCCATGCCATTACATTTTCTTTTCCATAGCTTGAGTGCTTGTTCCAGATAAATTTTGAAAAGGGTAGGCGAAATACAGCAATCCTGCTTTAGTTCTTTCGTGACCTTGAATCCTTCAGATATCCTTGATCCAGTTTTAATTTTTGCAGTCGTTCCATTATACAGACTTTGGACTGCTTTGATAAGACCATGCTTAATGTTGGTTTGCTGTAGGGTTGACCATAGTTTACTTAGGGTACACTGTCATATGCTTTTTGTAAGTCTACGTACACCAGGTGAACTTCTTTATTGAAGGCTGTTTTTTTCTCAATAACTTGTGTAATAGAGTACAGGCGGTCTACTGTGGATCGCCTAGCTCTAAAACTAGCTTGCTCCTCTGCTTCGTAATCTCTATAGTCATTTTCTATTTTGTTCTTAATAAGTTTCTCATAGATCCTACTTATGGTGCTGTTTACCGCTATTCCTCTCTAATTTTCACACTGATCCTTGCTGCCCTTTTTGTGGATAGTTGACATGATAGATAATTTCCATTCTTTTGGTAATTCGGCCCATTCAAGCAGTCTTAAAAGAGTTTTCTCAACTGTTCCTGGAGTTTGTCTGTACCGGCTTTCACTAATTCTGCAGGAATATCACCGGGACCAGGGGATTTTCCATTTTTTAGGGATTTGGTTATTTCTTCCATCTCTAATTTACTGATTTGGAATGGTGATGAATTTATATGTATACCTATCGTGTTGTCTTCCATGTTAGCAAATTATGGTCTTTGTTCTGTTCTATTTTTCCTATTTTTCTGTTGTTATTGGTGATATAACGTCTTTTTTTTATTATTTCTCATACTTTTAATCAATCTCCAACTCTCTGTGCTTCTTCTACCTCCTACGTGGGTGTTCTTTTGGCAGTTCTGTTCCCATGATTCGTTCTTTTTTTGAGTTATCTTTTTTCTTACTTTGGCTTGTGTTTCTTCGTAAATTGTTTTTTCGTTTTCTGTTTTTGTTGTTAAAAATGTTTGGTATTTCCGACGTTTATCTTTAATTTCCTTCTCTATTTCTTCATCCCACCAGTACAGTTTTATTCCTTTATGATTTTCGTCACATTTCCCCAGTGCTTCTTCTGATGCCAAATGAATCGACCTTTTAATGTGTTCGTAGTGTTCTTCGGTATTTTCAAAACTACCCATTTCTAATTTTTGGTCTAATCGTTTTTTATACAGTAGCTTTACAGTCTCATGGCACAAAATAATAAACAATCAGAATGTCCACTGTCAGATGCCGCCTTTGGAGTTTTTCAGCACGCGCGCCATGTTTTAGAAGGAAACACATAACACAGACATATGATTTGTGAGGTTATGTAATTGTTTATATTTATGTTTAATTATATTATATTTATGTTATTATATTTAACAATGTTAATATAATTGTATAGTATGTCTATGATTGCCATAAGTCAATTAAACCGGGTTAATTTTTCTATGTACACCACATAAACAACACTGGTTCCCTCTAAAACATGGCGGAACGTCTGCGCGAAGGAGATGCGCGTACTTAATTTTCCATGGAGAGTGGGCATTCTGATTGTTTATTATTCTGTGCTCATGGTTTAAACTGTCTAGGTTGTACCGTACTTGTTTTATTAACTGATTTGATCGGGTCAAAAAATAAAGGAAATAGCTGAAAATAAAAGTAACAGACAGTGGTATACTAATGCGATGCGACTTAGTGATATAATCAGCTTGTACTTTCGGCAAACTCAACCAAAATGTCTTGTTTCAACATTTACATTTTGGTGGCCTTTTGTATAATTGATAAAAAAAGCTATCTTCTATCAACAAAGTTAATATTTTTGTAAAAGATTATCTAACAAAGGTAATATCTAACGAAGAACCAAGGCACTTAAATATAATGTCAATAATTTTTCTATCTTATTATTTTATCTTACTCAATATATATATATATATATATATATATATATATATCTATATATATATATATATATATATCATTATTTTCTCAACTTAACTGTAAAACACCGGGCACTTCTCATAAAAGAGGCTACCGTTGTTTTTAATTAATTATCTTCATAATTAAACAATAAAGAATGTAATTTATTTTTAAGTAAGATGAGCTAAAATTCTTTAGATAATATTTTATTTGCAACTTTTAATTAGAACGGAAATTCTGTTGCTATATTTTTTCTGGACTGTGTTTTAAAAAACTATAACCTCGACCAAAAAGAAAATCTCGAAGAACTTTAAAAGGAATTTAAAATTCATTATATATTTTTAATATTCAAAGTAATTTTTAGCGACCTATATAACAAAGATAATTTTTGCTATTTCCAAGTAAATGGAAAAATTTCCAAAAATAAAATTTTAATACATAATCTCTCTCCTCTTTTGATTGATCATGTAGATAGGTATAGGTCAAAAATTAACATACAAAACAATAAATTTGATATAAATAACAATGCTTTTAGGACTTGTGAGTATAAAATTAAAAGTTAAATGTATAAAATTCAAAACTTAAACGTACATCCCAACATCTTCCTCTAGACAGTCACAGTTTTCTTCATCATGGTCAGCTTCTTATGTTCCAGGGACGTTGTTAGAAACAATACGAAGATACCAATGTTTGATCGTCCTTCCGTTCTTACGTACGAAGATACCTATGTTTGATCTTCCTCCCATTCTTATAATCAAAGATACCAATGTTTGATCGTCCTTCTAGTCTTTCCGAAGATATGCGTCAAAAGCTTGTCAACATCTTTCTTTTTGACTGGAGGTATGCTGTGACCGAATGGCAACTCATCTATCTCTAATAAGGTGCATTTTTTAGCAAGCCAACCTTTCTTTTGAAGAGATTTCTAGGCCTACGTCTCACATTTAAACGCAAAGTTCATTAGGCATCTGACCAAGAGTTTAGTTTGTCGATTAACAACTTCTCTTTTTATGAAAATTTTTTTGCAGTCTAAAATACCGTCCACACGCTTAAAGCAACCTTTTTTTTGTTGATGAAAGACTCTTGATGTCAAACAGTTTCCAATCTTCTTCCAGTATTTTTACTGTTCCAACTGATTTGTATACATCGATGTAGGTTTCTTTGTGGATAATAGTTGGCTGTTTACGCAACAATTTTTCCACTCGTCCAAACACTTGGTCGACAAAAAGAAAGCTGTGTCCTCTTATTGGAAATGTTATTATTGTGATGTCTGTTACTTTGGACTTAGTGTTGATCAAAAAGAGCATAAGGGTATGTAAAACGAAATTGTTTTTATTTTGAGCACCACGCCTATCACAAAAAAGATTGATGTAAATATTTTCAGGTAGATCAAAGATTCATATGTGTTGGAAAAGAGCTAAAGAGACATCAGTAGAACCCTTTTATCTTCTGTCCACATATAAAATGTCGGGTTTTTTCCGTCAATTCTAACAACACAGAAACAGTATAATCCAATATGCTTTTTGACTCGGTGATTTTGGTAACGGCTGTAAATCAAAGCACATACTAAGTGAATCAGACTCTTCTTTTTTCATAGCCTTATAAAATGCTGCTGCACGAATTGCATAAACTCGCTTGTTGGTCCTGTACTCAATCTTCTTAGCTGGATCATTTGTGGTTTTGATGAAATGTTTCATTTTGTGGCAGTAACTACACACATCAGACGCTGGGGAGCGAAATTCAATATTAAAGGACCTCGGAAACCTTTTTTGGGTGGTGCTAGAAAGGTCACCAATGGAGACACTGCGGACCATAGCTAGATAGTTGGTGGAGAGCAAGTCGTGGGTTCGAAACTAGATTTTGGAACCGGGAATGGGC